GTACAAACTGTCTCAAGTTAATTCCTTTCTATTCGAGGTTTTTTGATTTCAATGTAAAGTATCCAAATCAAACAATCAGTTTCAATTTGCAGCAACTCTCCTAAGTTGTTGCTATCATGAATCAAAATGAATCGAACAATTTGTCCTAAGTTGATGCAATGTAAGTATCTTACTCTTCGAGTATTTTTGATTTTAATGTAAAATATTCAAATCAAAATCAGATACTATAAAACTAACGTTCCAAGGTTTCTATTCATGAAAGATACAGGGGACTTACCAGTGGTCAGACGTTTTGTAAACCCGAAGAACCGCGAGATATAACGACTATGTGAAGACCCAACGCTGAATTTTTCAGACCAACTTAATCTTGCCAATCAAGACCATTAATTTAGTATTCTATCAAGTTTACATGAATCATCCAGAAAAATTTAATTACAAAGGACTCGGTGCTATGTTGAGGTTGTTTGAGTTGTTTTTGTTGGACAGTTTTAATTTAGTTTATTTGTGATTTTGAATCGAAGAAAGCAGTTTGTGATGGAATCGAAGATGGTTTTCGATTAGGAATCGAAGATGGTTTTCGATTAGGAATCAAAGATGGTTTTTGATCAGGGATCGAAGATGGTTTGTGATGGAATCGAAGATGGTTTTTGATTAGGAATCGAAGGGAACTGGAATTGAAGATTTGTAATTTTTGATTTGATGTGGTTTGATTTAGGATCGGTCAAACAGATGGTAAACACAATGATTCAAAGTCTTGAATTGTTTTTTTCAAAAAAAATTGCTGATCTTTTGTTGTCCTTACTGTAAGGACCCAGGTATATTTCACCGGTCAATTGCACAATAGCCAGGTTCTGAGCACCCGGCGTGAGCTCGGCAGCCGATGCCAGCCTCACAGAGTACCTGGATGGCAGGTCGGTATTTCCTTACCTGACCCGCCTACCGATCGGCTGGTAAACCACACGATGCCGAGGTGGTCGCTTTTTTCATGTGACGGCTAGGTGACGGCCTGGGTGAGGGCCAGGTGGCCTCCCTCACGTGCCTGTCACCTAAAATCATTCGATAATTTCATAGCCCCACCACACGATGCCACTATGCCTCGTTTCAGGTGGGGCCAGTTGAAAGTCACCCCGTGGTGTACTCGTGGACGACCTCGAAATGACTGCAAACAAGCGGGATCATCACAGAAAGAAGGCCGATGGAAATCTGACTTTGAGCTTGAAGAAGCCGAGGAAGCAGAAGAAGCTCGGAAGGAAGCCAAAAAAAATGCCAAACAGCCAGCCAAAAGGCTTTGTCTTTCACGATCTACTGATTCAAAAGTATCCCTTTCTCAAACAACCCAGTCCGGAACTTCTCAGGTACTCCAAATCCCCAAATCTTCCATCGTATCCTTTTCTCAACCAATTCCTTCAACATTTCAATCAACTCAGCCACCCTCAATCCCTTCACCTTCATCTCAAGCAAGACGTGTTTTCAAATGTGGCTTTTGCAAAGTCCCAGGGCATCGTTCAAACTACTGTCCACTTGCAAAGGCCAAAGCGGACGAAGCGGATGCTCCTACGCCAAAACCAGTCAAAACTCCGACCTTGGAACCTTTAGATCACATAATCACAGCTCCGGAAGAAACCGAAATCCACACACAACTTGATATCAACGACAACACTCATATCCTAGCACAGGAAGAGAGTGAGGTCGAACCCAACTCACCGCTTGGCTCTGAAGACAACATCAATGGTAACTTATGTCCATTCTGTGACGACCCCCTTCCATCACAGCCATCTAAAAGACTTGTTTGGCTAAAAGAGACATTATTGGCTTTGCCCAACGTTAACTCATTAGGTGTAAGTCCACTTTCTATCTCATCAATATCGTCATCCTAGCAAAAATCCTGTTTGATACTGATCAATATCATATGTCCCTGGACCTGCAGTGGCCGCAAACCGCAGAGTATTGTGACCTCCACGATGCTGAGCAACATGCGATTCCAAATGGCATCCGTGAGGGATGGCCAACTAAAATTGATTTTGGATTGTTAGAAACGTAAGCCCCCGTGACATACCAATGGTGCTTTGATCTAACTAACTAACTCTTACTTAAATTTTATAGGCGCATCCAAGTTCATAAAGAATATCTGGTTCAGATCATAAACCGAAAGATCTCTTCATATTTTCTAGAGGAAGCCCAAACACAATTCAAACGTCAAGGACAATACATGTTTACGATGTCGGGTGAGTTTGAAGGTTTTGAGTTGGGGCAGCCTGGGTAGTAAGTTCTGTTTCCTTCTCTTCTCTCACATACACATATGCAATACTCAAACTAACTCCACCTTCAGTTATGGGCAAATCGGTCTTGTAGTGATGACAAGAACATTGACCGGTATGTTCTTGTCCGAAACGCCTACTGGAATCACTTTGGACGTCCACGCATCAGCCCCATTCCCTCCCGAATTTTTCCTTTGCCGAGTGTTGGTTCCGGAACTCGTGTTGTTACTCATTGCCAAAGACTTGAACCTGTCTAGCAGTGATCCCAAGGTAAAGACTACCCTCGAAGCAAGCCGCCGGTTTGGAAATGTCATGTTCTCGCATGAAGATCAAGATGAAGTTGGTGCAGGGACTGAAAAGCATCAGCCGGACAATTCTGCATCAAGAGCCGAGAAAATTGAGTACACTTTGCCACCAGAAGAGAATATACTTGAGCATCTTCCTTCTTTCATCGTTCCCCACATCATTGCCACTTTCAATCCACCTGCTTTTGGAAATTGTGGCTATTTGGCAGTGGCAGCCGCGGTTGGGTTCACCTTGCAAGATTTGTATCTGGACGTCAGGCAAAAGTTACTGGCTGAGCTTTCCGAACATGCTAAGGTACATGAATCACTTATTTCATCAAACCGGACGTCGAAAAGAACTCAAAAGGGCCTATCTTTTGCTGCCGAAGTTGTGCAAGATCTGCAGGTTCGACTCAATCACAAGGAAGCCAATTGTTCTCAGAAACATTGGATGCGTATGCCCTATATGGGTTTTGTGGTCGCAAGTGCTTACAACTGTCCCACTGTTGTTTTGGATCCTCAATCAAGATGTTGGCGCGAGGCCTTCTGGCGTGCCGTTTGGCGCGCCAGGCGTGGCGCGACGCGGCACGCCAGAAGGATTTCAAAACCGGGCTGGCGCGCCAGTCCTGGACTTAGGCCGGGGTTGAGTCTTGGGGGACGTTTCTGGAAGCTTTATACAAAAAAAACTACCACAAATAGCTTTTTGGCTCATCCATCAATTCCAAAACCAATACCATCACTAGCTTCAACTATTTACCATGTCTGATAATCAAAAGTGGATCAAACCAACTGATAGAAATGGTGCCCGATGGTGGGGCTTTCTAATGTCTGATAGCTTGGATCCATCAGCTCATTGACGCGAAGCCCAATGCACACACTGCAAGGACGTTATGCAAGGCCGGCCGGAAGTTCTTTACAAACATATTGATGAACAATGCAATTCAATATCAACTTCAGACAAATCCACCTACTACCAGGGCTACGCATCCGAGATGAAACTTAAGAAACAAAAAGAAAATCCAACTGAAGAAAGTCGCTCAAATGGAAACACTTCTCAAGACGGAATAGACTCGCCTAACGCCATTAAAGTCACAATAGCACCTAAGTCATTCCATATGGGGTCACTCCATCATTTCACCGTATTGGATGGATGCAAAACCAATGAGCTCCATGTCCTTCTAATGAAAGCACTGATCACTGGCCACATTCCTCTGGGATTCCTCTCTAACCCTTTCTTTATGCGATATCAAGAAGTTCTTGCCCGCACACCATACAAGTTACCTACTCGACACTCGATGATGACAAAGATCCTCCCTTTTATGCATTCCGAGAATCACCTCCGAATGGAAAAACAGCTTCAAACTGAGACAAACCTTACTGTATCTTTGGATGGCTGGTCTGACACATCCAAAAACAGTGTCTATGCGGTGATGCTTTTGAAAGGGACTTCGGTCAAAGAGTTTGTGGACATCCTTGATCTCCATTCGCGTCGACACACAACTTCGAACATCCACTCAGCTCTGAAGAATAGCTTCAATAAGCTTGATGTAAAATGGTCCTCCATTACAGCAATTGTTACTGACTCACCTAGCTCAATGATTTCCCTTCGAGTGAGTTTTCCATTGATCTTCAATCATTGCCCTGGTCTGATTTTAATTTTTTAATCTTCCAGTGAACAATCACAACCGAGAATCCACATATCATCAATGTAAACTGCTGCTTACATGTCTTCAACTTGATTGTAAAGGACATTGTAAAGCAACCTCTTATGTCAGCAGTAGTGACAACACCGGTCCAGCTGCGCTCCACGCAGCTGAAGCGCTGCTGGAAAAGCTTCGCTTCGGAGCGGTTCAGCGCACTCGCCGTCCAGTTACGCTTCAGGCTTAGAAACAACTTGTTGCGTAAATGCAGCAGCGCTTCAGTGCCTTGATTTTGAGGTCCAATTTTCACCGCTGCGTTTTCCAAGTGCAGCGGTCAAAAATTGATTATTTCAGTGCCTGTATGCCTTGGTGAGAATTTGAGATATTGGGTAAGAGGTGTCAAGAGTCTTACGAGATTTCGATAGAATTGTCAAAAAGATTGAAAGATGTATTGACAACTTTCGAGGACTGAATAGACTACACCTTGAAAGTTGATAGTTGAAACTAGCCCCTTCCATAGGACATTCAAAAGGAGGAGCTTCTTGATTCTTTGGGTACTCCAAGTTTCACAGTCGTACTTTTTCAATTTTGAAATATCTGCAAACAACTTTTATTTGAGTCAATCTACCCATTTGCCCGAAATGCCTCTTCAATCTACGCTGTCCTTTGAATCATCTCAAGCACAAGAATCTCGTGGAGATGGATCCAATGCCAATACAACGTTATCAGCAAGTCGCCCTCAGCGTAATCGACAACCACCATTGAACCCGGGAATGGTCTCACCTTGCCCAGATGGGAGACGTCGATTGTCTGTTGAGATGACTCCGTTAAATTCAAAACGACCAGTTGTCATCGACGAATCCGACGTATCAGCTACAGAGTTGGAATCGAACAAAGCTGTGAACAAAAATAAAAATAAAAAAAAACCGCCAAAGAAAAAACAGAAGAGCACCAAGGAGAGTCAGGTATGTTATTTTGTGTATCAATCATTTATTGTGTATCATTTGAATGATATGTATCTTTTGCTTGACAGTCTGCAGAAACCGAGTCAGCTTTTGTTACAAAAGCAATACTGCGTGCTGATTCGGACGATGAGAATGAGAAAGTTAAATCGAGACGGTTAACTAAGGAAGAAAATGAAGACCTGCTTGCTTATTATGGGGAACCAACCCGTAAAAAGACTGATGTGTGCAGTTCTGTCCCGTATATCATGTTTCAAGATATGATATCTTATGTATGATTTATTTTCAGAATCCGGACCTTCCTCCGCTTTCATACCCATGTACGTGGTGTGCGCCTGACAAGAATAAAGTGTTGAATGGAATCACCTAAAGAACAACAACCTTCTATATTTGCAGTGTATAATGACATGCAAGAAGAAGAAGTAGGAGACGACAGCCAGCTGAGAGACTATTTGGGAGGCCGCAATCGAATGAAAAGTCCGGAGTATGATCTGGCAGATCCTAACTCGGCGCTGGCATGGTGGAAGGTTTGTTGATCCCTTTCATCACTTTCATCAGTCAAAGCTGAATGTTTATCTCCCAGCTTCATTGTAATCGATACCCAGTGGTGGCCGCAATGGCACACGATTATCTAGCTTCCTCTGGATCATCGGCTGCACCCGAGAGGATCTTCTCGGCTGCTGCCGATGTCTGTGCTTCGAGTCGAGGAAGCTTGGTGGCAATTACGATCGAAAGGGCCGTATCATCTCTCATTTGGCTTCGTGAAGGGATCTCTCTCGGTGGAGATTTCATGAAGTCCATGGAGGCTTCTAGGATGCCCGAGTACAGTACCTATATCAAGGAATACCATATGTCACTTCAGGCTCAGGGATCTTCTAAGACTTAGTCGTTCACGTTGTTTTCATTTTGATCTTTGTTATTTTTCATTTCTCGACTCTCTTTAAATACGTTCGGGTTCTTTTTGTTTTCTTTATTATTTATTTCTATACTTTCTTTCAATTTGTTTCCTTTTAATTTCTCGTCTTTCTTTAAATAACTTTGCCTTTGTGAGCCTCAATCATTACTTTTTTTCTACAATTTGCTCCGCTTTGCCGCTGAAGCAGCGAAGCGTCACCGATTCCAGTTACGCTGCTACATCGGAGATTCTTGTGCAGGGTTGAAAAGCTTCGCAGCTCAAGTCAGCGTACAAATTGTCGGCTCGCTGGCGATTTCTTGAGTTCTAGTCAGCGGAACCTAGCAGCGCTGTGCGCTGAATCCAATTCAGCGCTCCGAAGCGCTGCTGTGCCACTGTTGGTAGTGAATGAAAACCAGGAGCTTGTGAAATACTTCAATCGATCTTATTTTTACTCGGAACATCTTGAAAAATGGAGGGCACAAAACAATGTAACTCGTGGCCTTGCTACGTTCTGTGATACCAGATGGTTCTCGGTATCAAAGGTCTGTCTTTCGGTTGCTGAACATGAGCTTGGATTTCAAAAATGTCTTGAACTCGAAGCCGATCCAAACTCTGATGTGCCCGCCATTCCCGAAAAAATTCGACAATTGATCAATGATCGTGACCATTTCACAGCGAACTTGACTCTTACCAAGTTTCTCCGATTAGTTGTTGATGCATTAGCTGAACTAGAGCATGCAAACACATGCCTTTCCGACATTTGGTATCAACTGGCTTATGTATACACCGAAATGAGAAAGCTAGAAGTGTACAATCGCTACCACGAATTCAAAGATCATTGCATTCAGATTCTCCACAAACGCAGTCAAGCTTTTAAAGACAACATCTACATCATTTCACTGTTCCTGATTCCAAATCAGATTCGATTCACTACATCGGCAAAGTATCCTTTAGAAAACATGATCCTCATGCTCCTTTCACTTGCCAAACAATGGGATTACACATTTCAAGATGCTCGTACTCTCAAGCAAGAAATATTGGCATATGTTGAGCAAAGTGGTCAGTACACCCCCAAATCAAAAGGTAAGAACACGGCTATTTTGCAGTTCGATTCCGAAGCGATGTCATACATGCTGAGCATCAAATTGCTTGAACTTTCAGTCGATTGACCTATCGACTATTGGCGTGCTTTGCCATCAACTTCTTGAGCAAACCCTTTGAAACGACTCGCTATCCGAGTGTTGGAAATTGTTCCCCACGCTGGCGGGATCGAGAGCCTTTTCTCCCAGATGTCTGCAACAAAGACTAAGCGCCGAAGTAGAATGAGAGTAGCTCTTTTGAAGATGCTCTCACAGCTTCAAATAGCCCTTTCGAAAGAAGGAAATAAAATGAAGGCCTCAAAGCCAATAATCAAGCACTTGAAAGACATCTCGGTCGCAAATACAGAAGACAACTGGGTCGATGAACCTAATGATTCTCCTTTGTTCAATCAACCCGACGACTTCGAGATCTTTGAGGCTGGGGCTTACTCTTCAGAGACAACTGACATCAATAACATCATTGATGACAGTTTTGATGGGCTCATCAATGAGCTTTTTGACTTGGACCAATTTAAAGCAGGCAACGTTGTCGATATCAATGGTCTGGGTCGTGAAATTATTGTAATTGAGGACGTAGATACCGAGTGGAACTTAAACGATGTTTAGACCAATACAAATCCTTCTTTTTTGTAATTACAATCAAAGAACAAATGTCGTTCATGCACCTTTGAAAGTCTCATGGAAAAAAAGCGACTTTCTTTATTTTTTGATTTTATTTTTTCAAGAAAATTGGCGCGCCGGCGGGCCACCGGCCAAGGCGCGGATTCTGGCAAGCCTTATTTGGCGCGCCGGCGCGCCATCAGTCCAGAACCCTGCGCCAACATCTTGAATCCTCAAACTTCGAACTGCAACACATTTTTTCCTTACCGCACCCCACCAAACAATCAACTTCCAATTGTACTTGCTTTCATCAACGGGAACCACTTTGTCTCCTTGAAGGCCAGAGACTCTATGCCGTTGCCGGAGTTATTTGGTAAGAACCGCAACTCAGAGAGTTTGAAAAGCACTATGATATCTAGTTGGGTGGAAAAGTTTCAAGCTCAACTAGGTGAGTGGTGCGTAGCCATTTGAACCTTGCTGTTTCAATGTCAATCTTTCATCTTTCATCCCTTCCCTATCGGTCTTGGTTGTTTTCTTTCCTTACACTCATTACTCATGTCACGGTCATTACCTACCTACCCTTCCGCGCTGTTAAGTCTTTTAATCAAACAATGGCCGTATTATATTCTGCGCAATGAGTGTTGTTCTTATTTCGTTTCACAAGTTATGGTGCGGTGGAGGTGTTCACATCACATACATGATAGAAATGACAAATGACGGTGTTCATACAAGTTTTATCGGTCACAAAAACGATGTTGAGAACAAACCACGCGTTTAAAATCGAATCAAGATCCGGTTTGAACCAAACATGTAATGCCCGGTTTGAATGAAATTGAGCCCGGTTTAAGTCAAAATCGGGCGTCGGGTCAAAAAAAGCGGGCGCCAAATAGTGCCGTCCTTTTCCTTATGTCTGAGATCTTAAAGATATCATGAGCTAAATACCTTATCATTCTTCCATTGTTCCTACCTCCCAACTTCACCATGGGTGCGAGATTTAACAAGATGCCTGGCAGGGGTTCGATGCAAAAAATATGGCGAAGCGGTAGTAGATTGTTAATACCAGTGCGAACATATCGGCCACCCTTTGCCCCGACATCTCAGAGAAAGCTGAACTCATGTCTCTGATGGGGCGATCACAGAAATATGGCTATTTGTTTAAGAATACAATTGTTTACAGGTTGAATGAATCTTCAGTTTGAGAAGCAAAAAGTTTGAATCTTTCATGTTAGTGCAAAAAATGATGTACTACAATTCTTTCTGGGACCATAAAATCATACTTTTTGGACCAATCGTGATCATTCACATATGACGAGAAATCGAAAATTGAATTTAAGCAGGATGTTGTTTTGTCAGTAAGGAACATTTAAAAGATTGGTACATAAATTTCGAAATTGTTTTGTACGAGACAGTTGAAGAAAGTAGCAGTTTTTTGAGATTATTTCAAGCTCAATGTCGTGTGGCGAGTTAGCTTTCTGCTCAATGTGGAACAGGTGGCATTGACCAACCCCACCAACTCTCCCCCCACCCGTACTCTGGTTCGGGACTAAAGTGACGCTTGATTCATTGTCAGACCTCCAAAGCCGTAATTCTAATGACAAAACCATTGCGAACTAACCTGCGCTTTGAATGCTCTGACGTTCCGCTGAGGGTAATAAAGTTAGAATATCAAATGAGCCTTTGAGGACTATATCGCGATTCAGAACTTGGCTTACAAGGGATCCAACCCGGTTGAGCTTCGCGATTCCAAGTTCCTTACTTTTACATATGAAGCACTGGTACACAAAATTCAAGAAAAGCTGATAAGTTCCTTGAGTCGAACGACAAAGGGTGTAAATGGACATGCTTACATTGGGAGTGGAGAACCCGTGGTGATAGCTACCAGAAAAGTGTGATGAAAATCGAGAATCAGACAAGAGTCATCATTATAGCTGAACTACAATTACCTGTTATCACAGCCAGTAAGAGACAAAGGTTGATGGTGAAACGCATCGTAGTCGTATACTTGAAAATTGCGAGAGAGAGACTCTTAAGCTTAGAGGTGAGCTATTTATCTAATTTTTTGCAGTGAATTCAGGGGACCAGGAATGACTATAACATACGAAGTCAAGCAGTCAATGGATTTGTTAGAGGCATCTAAGTATAAATTCTTGCGTCATGGTCGGAAGATGCAGAATGTGCCCAACAGCATAGATTCTACTTTGCACATATCCCGTAAGATATCAACTGGGTGATTCATATGTACGAGAATTAAACTCAACTGCGTCCCTCGCTGCTTCTCATATGCTTTGAGCGCAAGCGTATGAGTTTGTCAAGGTTTGTCATAAGTCCCTGGGCCCTTGCTGCGCTCGAAGCCTGTGAGAAGCACAGGTGGAGAAGCAGCGAGAGTTCAATGAAAAGCATTTTTTTCTCCGGCTAAAAAATAAAACGAGGGGGGTGACCTGGGTTGTCATTAATTCCTAGAATAGCTACAAGCATACAACCGGTCAGCGCGCACGCCGTTATTCTACCAGGTAGATCTCGGACAAATTACCGTGGGAGCGAGGATATTGGTCAATACCTCGCTTCGCACGGTAATACGAGCTCGGGTGATCCCCTCGGGGAGGTACCCGACGGTGGTATACACGCGGAAGTACTACGCGAAAGTACTTCGCGTGAATAGCATGCAAAAGAATAACAAGCGAAACGGTGGATTGCATTCTGAGGATGATTCACGCGGCGTTACAACACTATGAGCATCTGGGGAGAGATAAGAACGGTCTTTCGGGAGTGAACGGAAGTCTGGATAATGTCTAGTTTCGGGTTTGATGCCGAGGTGAGTGAAACGTTAGAGAGAGAAATACAGAGAGTTTAAAAGTGAAATCTATGTGCGGCCGAGGACCGTTACAGTCGTTCCCAGATATCTTGGAAATTTTCCAAATTTCTGAAAAACTCGACTGGAGGGCCGGGTCCGTGCGCTCTGTAGTAACAGAGAGAGAATGTCAAGAGGATGTCATACTCTACATATGACACGGAGTTCGATTTAGCTTCTCTTTGGACGCCTATCTCATGCTGAAGTTTTGATATGGTCTTCGATATCGACATCTTTCCATCAATGGGGACCCCATTTTCCTGTCTGTTTTTCGCTATTTCCTCGCCATCCGATTCCACCGGCCTCAATCATCACCTACAAGCTTTCAAAGGCGACAATATCAGCCAAATCACACATTTTACGGTCATGAATCATTCGATTCCATCACACCCTCTCACTCCTCAAGCCCCGAGTAGTGCTGGCTCATTGAACAGCAACGATACTGGACTGTTTCCACCGAGACACATTCCAGGCCAATGTGTTCACAGATGGTGAGTGATTTTTTGCCGATTTTCTCGCGATGATGATTTGAATATCTTTTTCAAGTTACTGACTCACTTGAATGATCAGGGAGAGTCCTCAACACCCGGGTGAAACGGTCTTTTATCATCAGGCCAGCCGATGCGAATACGAGAGACTTCGTGGCGTACCTCCCACCCCTCCTAATATTTCAAACAGCATCGGACCCGCGTCAGCTTCCTTTGCTTTGATCTCGCCTTCCCCGATGCCAAGACACAACATCTACCAAAATGTGAGTAGAGTGTTTTAATTGTACTCTTCATTTGTAGTATCAACTACATTCAACTGACGTATATATATTTGGGTATATGTGTATAGGTTCTTCAAACTCCTCAAACTTATCTTGGAAATTTGGAAAATTTCCAAGATATCTGGGAACGACTGTACTATACTCTGGTCGTTTTCCTCTCAGGTGGAGGTTTCGGGAAATGGATATCGACAACCTCTTCGAACTTCTCCGATCCTTCTGATGAACAGATAAAACATCACGCTGTTTTTGATATCTCTTTCACATTTCTTTGGCTCCGTATTCCTTGACATAACCATTAATACAGACCGTGATATTTGCCACAATATTAACCTTTCTTCAAAATCATGCTTGTCCAGGTTCACCACAAGATCAATAATTCTTGACATGTGGTTCTGATACTACATACTGTGAACCGTCTTTCTTGTACTTTTTTTTACAGGATACTCAGGTTGATTTTATTAATCTTCTCCCTTTTTAAGATAGGTTCCTTCGGAGCGAGTGACGCGACCGTAGCCCGTTGCACTAATGCCCGAACTTATAAATGAGGTTCCATTAAATATTTCGGATGGGTAGAATTATAATTCAGACGAACTAGCTTCACACCTGTGCAGAGCCCAGATCACCTACATATATTTGAAATTTCTGAATCTGGTTTTTGTATTGCTAACTCTCCTCAAGTATATATACTATACGAGGGCTAACTAGAAAGTAAAAACCCCTTGAATGTTTTTTCACAAACGCAGAGGATCAGATCTGCGGTCGCTTTATGAATCCATGATGTTACTCTACATTAACTGAATTTCTTTCTTATATGATTATTGAAATATCTTAATAAAAAAATTACAAATCAGATTGATCACAAACTAGACAATAATTGGAAACCTTTGGGTATGAATTAGTCAAAGAAGCTATACCTGACGATAGCAAGATCAGAGATAAATTACTCATCCTCTAAAAGATGTGAAACTTTGACTGACGTATAGAAATGAGTCGATATATTTCATCAGTATTTAATCCCCTTGAATACACGATTTGATTTCGAGCGCAGTGTTGTGTGCAAGTTATGAGCCGTCCGTCGTGTGAAACAGCGCTTGCTTTGTTTCTCCAGATCGATCTTCAATAACCTCAAGATAACTCGAAATTTTTGTGGGCGACGACTCAGTATATACGAAAAAGCTTGTCGGCCGAGCCTGAAGAGGCCGATCAGGTGTTTATGAGCTGTTTTATAATGTATATATTGTCTTCAACTACAGTGCGTACCATGTGATCTCGAAAGCTTTGATTGAACAGATTCCACCTGCGTCAATTACATATTTCTGTTCTGATTGTCTCTGTACACTGGTACAGAGGAAGTTGATTATCTTTTCAATGACGTCTAGGAAGACCCGTTCTTGATCAATACTTGAGCTCATCGAGGGAAAAATTTACGGTAGAATAAAGCGTACCATGGAAAAATTTATAGGACCTGACGACGTTAGCCTTCCAATCATTTAGATAGGCCACATATTTTGTAGCCACGAGAAGAAGGGCTTGATAGATGTTTAATCGAACGGTCTCTGTTGTAGCGGTCCCAATAATATTGGGTCACATACCCGCTAGACACAATCAGGGGCTGCATCAAAGGCCTCGTCATGACTCGGCCTGCTACTCCCATCAAATATGCGCCTTTGTCGTGTTCATACCGCCAGCGTTGCTCGCGTTGCAACTTCTTCTTCATGCAATTGAAAGCTTTTTCGATTGGATTTAAATCAGGTGAATAGGCCGGTAAGTAAATTAATAAGACTCCCTTCTCTTTACATAACTCGTCGATCTTCCCGCCGTGGTGGATCTTGGCGTTGTCCAAAATGAGGACCGATTTGGGTGCAGGGTATGCATTCATAACCGGAAGCTGGAAAACAACATAAAGCAGAGATTAGATTAACTGATGACCCGTCTGTGACATCATAAAACACGACTGACCAGCTTCCGAGCTAGGAAAAGCTCAACATGTACTCGTTCTACTGGGCCTTTAACCACAGTCCCGGCGATCATCCCTTGCTCGCAGACGGCGGGAAGAATAGTCCAGTGGTCGTTTTCTTGGTACCGAGTGGCACAGACGGTTCGAGTGCCCGTTGGAGCCCAGCTCTTCTTCCTGGTAGCATCACGTCCCACCACGCCGGATTCGTCTACATAACGATGTGAGAAGATGAAACCAGTCAGAATGAGGATCACGTCAGCGGAAGTCAATGGCCAGCTCACCGATGAAGACCAAGTATTCCGCTGGAATATTTGCTATACGTCGTATAAACTTAACCCGCTCCGCCAAAGATTGCTTCTGGTGCACACCTCGAGTCACCAGTAAGGATAAACCAAGTCTTGTCTTGAGCGCGCGAGAAATCGTCGATCTACCGATATCGAGGCCGGTGATTTGATGGAGGCGTTTTTGAATCTCATCGAGATACAAATGAGGCGAGTGAGTTATAATATCTTTTAATACCAGAAGATGATCATCAGTTAGAGCGTGAGGTTGACCTCTTTGTCCGTAAGTTGCGGGATCGGCGATTACTCGATTGGTACGAATGTATAATGTCTTCCATCTGGCAAAAGAGTTGTAAGAAATCTTCGTCTTCAGCGTTCGGTTGATATGGGCGTGTGAGTGCCCTTCAATGGCCATTTGAATCGCTAAGGACTTGAGGTCCTCGGAGTAATGGCGAAAAGGCATGTTTCGAGGTCTTTGGAAGGTGAAATCGAGTGGTGAAATAGCAGACGGATGGAACGAGGAGGAAAGAAGACCTAGGATTGGGGAAATTGGGGTGGCCATCGTCGATAATGGGGTGGCCATCGTCGTGTTCCAGAGTTGTCAAATGAAGAACAGATGAACTAGGATGAGAGGAAGGAATTGACAGACCAGCCTCGACTAGAGACTTGGCATCTCTCTTTACATGTCACACTACTGGACAGCGCACGGACCCGGCCCTCCAGTCGAGTTTTTCAGAAATTTGGAAAATTTCCAAGATATCTGGGAACGACTGTACCTGTAAGGTACGAGAGTCGGAAAAGTGAGTGAGCGGCACTGGAGTAGCGAAACGTGTCTATGAGAAACAGCAGAAGCTCATGAAATGGTAAAATTGGCTTTAGCGTTATGAAGACGTAGAGCTTTGGAAAGAAGTAGAGGTTTCAACGGATTTGTTTAGTAGGGTGTCCGTCGGAATACAACCCGAGGGCTTCGAAGTAACCATCTTGTACAGCGCGAGTGGCGAATTCGATACCTTGGAGAGTGCCATCCGTGATGAGGTCTTCAGAAGAGTACTTGTGCTCCAGCGCGGCCGTGAGACGAGCGTAACGAAATAGTTCGCGCAGGGCTAACCGTTTAAGTGCTTTACGGGCTTCGCGGGGGTCTTCGACAACGGTAGGTGGCGAGTTGGAGGGTGGTGGCCCATAATGAGGCGTGCGGGGAAGGTCTTCGATTTGAACCTTGCTGGTGCTGGCGACTGGTTGAGGGCGAGGCCTAATTGAAGAATGCCCAACGTTAGCTGCGGAAAAGTGCGTAAAGACATACATTGTGCAGAACCTTACACTTCAGCGCGGCTTCGAGATGTGAGAAAAGGTGGAGGAATGTTTGTGGGGCGGCTGGATGTTTGGCAAACTGCCCGTGATTGGTCGCGTGCGAGCGTCTCGTCATGGAGATCTCCAAATAAGTCCGATAACTGTGAAGCGTTAACGGGTGTCGGGGACTTGTAAAGACTGTCGACACCTGGTTGCCGAGCAGTGGGTTGATTTGAATGCGCCGCGAGGTGGGAGAGGCGCTCATGTAGCAGTTGGGGTTGCGGTGCTTCGAACTGGAATTGTGTAGGAGGAGGGGGAGAAGGATAAGGCCACGAGGACGGCGCAGGTGTGGTGTGGCGATTCGACCTTGTTACGTCGCTATCGCCGACTTGCGTTTCAATTGGTGGAGGTGCCGGTGAAAATTGTGCAGGAGGATAGGTGTGAGTGTATTGGGCTTGTCGTACGTCCGAATAAGGGCTTAAAACACGGGATTCGTGGGTCGTGTAAACGGTCGACGATCGACTAACAGATCTTGCATGTGACACGTGAGAAATATGAGATTGTCGATGGTTGATTATCGCGTCGTGTGGTGGTGCGAAGGTAGCGTTGGATGTGGCAAGTGATAATGGATTAGTCAAGGGCGGCACTCTGGGAGGGTTCGGCATCTGTAACGGAGGTGGCATCGTTTCGATGGACAAAGGTTGGCCTGGCACACCGAGTTGGTGTGGTCCTGCGCCGTTCGTGGCGTTTGCGAGGACGTGAGGTGTGGGTAACGGGCAAGGTGGAGGTGGGTGGTTGTTAGGATGACCGTACGGTGGCGTGGAATGCTGAGCATGGGGATCGTAGAAGAGGCGGGCGACGTAGGAGTCGGATTCTCGCCGGTGGTGTTGAGGTACAGGGTGCTCAGATAGTTGCCGCTCTTGAATCGTGGTTTCGCCTGCTGGTTCGAGGTTTGGCATTTGCATTAGGATGCCTTCGGATTGGGAATGCCAATGGGGTGGGTACGGCGCTGGTGGACTAATGGCGTAACGAGCTTCGCTCGGAGGGACGCCAATCATGGAAGGTGTTCTAGCCATGCCGGAGGTGGACCGGTAGGGGACGGGGGGTGGTGCAGGTGAGACGGGGTTGCTGGATGTAGACGTACTGCCACTGTCTTTGTTAGGGATGACAACGAATTTGCTGATGGGAATTGTAATTTTCTGGGGTTCGAAGTTGGAGATCCCGTCGTCGACGTTCTGTAGGGTCGTCTCGCAAATGTTGAGCTTCTCTTGGCGGGCCAGGACATACATATGTTTGCAAGCCGATTTATGGGCAGCGAAGTGAGGGCATGTACAGTTGTTGACAGAGCCCATGCGTCCGCCCTCAGGCGGAGTTAAGACCAAACGGTACGTGGCCATCCGAGGCCTGGTGAAACTGGACATCGTGCGCTGCAGTTGTTGTAAGTACGAAGTCAATAATGAAGTGGGTTCACGGTGCTTACCTCCGTGGGTGATATTTTGTCTACGATAACACCTAGGCAGGCGATTTCCTTGTCGGTATAGCTGTCGGCGATGCCTTTGGCAACGTTTTGGAATTTGTTGGTGCGCTGTTGTCGAAATCCGAGAGTTGTAGTGAGAAAGAGTTGTCGATATTCAGGCTCGACGTCTTCGACCAAGATATGAATGACTATGTCGATCCGCGCCACTTTGGCGCGGCTGATGAAGTTGGTCTTGAAGACACGATGCCAAGATTCATTATAATTGTTTGTGTGAATGCCTTGAATGGGGACCAAACGTTGAGAGATCATGCAGTGTTCGAATTGAACGACCCACTGGTCTTGGAAGTACTGTACGAATGCGGGACATAGTTCTCGATAGTCCCGCTTGAATCGTTGCCATCTGTCCTGCCATTGTGTCGCGTTTATAACTTCCATAGCGTCCATGTGCATGTCGCGTGCCGGTTCTTCAGGCAGCTATTTCATGGATGGCCTCAGTATTGGTTTGGTTTCGAAATAAATGGATGTGACTCACGAGTTTATCGGCCTTCGCGCGGATGGCGCGTGATACATGAAACAGGCAGTAGTAGTGTTTGGGAGGTGTGCGGAAGGAGCGATATGTGTCGGCAATAGCCTTCTTATACGCCAACGCGCAGTCAGTCATAAAGGCGGTAGGTGCAAGTTGGAAGTCGTTCTTGAGCCATGTGAGGAAGGAAGTAATGGTAGTTCTAGGGAGGACTACGGTAAGCGTCTTGCAAAACGAAAGAGATCTTGGAATACTAACGCCATTTCGTCCGACGTAAAAAACCATGCGACGGGGATCCCACTCCCGGTAACAGGGTTACGGATCACTAGCGTGATGAAGGTGAGTTTGACCTTCCTCCAACCGGGGATTTCGATGCTCTGGCATACGTTGTGCGTAGAATCGAAACAGACTACGTCTCCGCCATGGCGGAGAAGTTGTTGACGCTGCCACGGGGAAAAGAATCCTACATGGATTCGATTGTGCGTGACGCGTATGTCGTTGTACACGTGCCATCCGCGTTCCGTGAGACGGTGGAGCCATGCTTGAATTGAGGCTAGAGGGCAGTTCGCTAGAGTGGCAATGCGGTTGGCACGCTTGCGAATACGGTTCCGTACATCGGAATACTTGATATTGAAGCCCTCTGGGACGGCGGTGAGGGCATCGCCTTCCTCCTAAGACGTTACAAGTGGCAATCAGTGTTTGCGTAGCAAGGTTTAAAAACCAGTTGTATGAGTCACTTACCGGAAATAAATCCGGGCAACGATTGAGGAGCTTAATGCTGGCATAAGATAATCCCGATACGACCTTGTCGTCCAACCACTGGCTGACAGCATCCGGGAGGCGTTTGTTACGCATGTCGGCCAAAGAGTATGGATTGTGATTTTCGTGTTGCCAAAACCATTCGAATTCGTAGTAGCCGTCAAGGGTTTTTCGAATGTAGAATTTTGCAGGACATCGCACTCGGTTACTTCCAGATGAATGGCGGGTGCGATCCGATTTGGTAACCTTTGTTTGGCGAGAAGGATTACCATTCGAGGTACAGAGGTAAGTTCGGGTCCAGTCGTGACGGCGTTTGGGGCCCGGCTTAGATGGGTTGGGTCCCGTTTGGCCTTCCAATACGCCGGTGAGAAGGTGGGCAACGCCGTTTGGCCGTTCGCCTTGGTAAGTCCAAGGCGAAGAAGACGTCATGGCAAAGGTGACGTGGTCAACGATGCCCGGTATTTGGGGAAGCGTGCACCTGAACACGGGGTCTGGGAAATGAGGTGGAGTCCTGGTGGTGTCACGGATGAAGCGGTTGGAAGAAGGGTTGAAGTCGAATCCAGGGGTGGGTGGGGCAAGGGCTACGAGTGGAAATGGGAGCCAATCATAGACATTGACTATGAGGGGGAACTGGTGGCGACTAGTACGAGTAGCCTTGGCGGCATTGGAGGAAAGCGGTGGAGTATCCTCAGTGAATTCGTAGCTCCCGTCGGGATGGGAGTTGGGCGTCTGTCTGGGTTTCGAAGGCCGCTGTGAGGCCATGTTGTCCTAATGCTTGCCGCCTTCGGCGGAACTAAGATGAAAGGGACGTTGAGGACGCGGCGGTGAGAGGAACCAAGTACCAACTCTCGTTTGCGACAAAGTCCTAAGTTCCCTCCTTTGTATCACCTCCTCCCCTGTGCACATTCAACTTCTGCTGTGCTAATTCACGCCTCTCGTCCAGCGTGGATGCGAATCCATTTGCAAACGCGCTTTCGCGAGGAATGGGTGGCAATGGCCCATTGACCTCTGTCTTACGGCCACATCCAGCGGAATGCGGCAACTCGTGCCGAGGAATTGCTCCTTGTGTTTTTGTCACAACGTCAGTACCATCCTTCTCCAGTTGCTCATTCTTGCCTTTACAGGATATGCTGAATCCGCTGTGATAGGGGAATCTGCGATTCCCTTGCAAAGTTGCCGGCCATTTACCAGCCATTTGCCATCGGACCTCGCGCCGTTGATTCACATCCGGCGCATTCCGTCACAAGACTCATTCAATCTTGTCAGTCCTTGCACCCGGTCCCTGTGCCTTCGGCACCACGGCCCTCCGAGTCCGGTACCTATTTACACTTATGCGGATATTCCTCGCAACTGCGGATTCGAGAATCACAAATTTCTAATTCGACACATGTCCTTTGCGGAGTTGGAAATTCTTGTCCATTTCAATTTCCAAATGTCAAACTCAGATTTCAAACTCTCAATCTCTCTGTGACAGTAGAGAGATTTCTCATAGTTGTAGCAGATCCTTCAGGTAGAATAACTTCAGGCGTCAGGGCTGATATCAATTCGAGGTCATCTGCCCCGATGTCCATTTGATATCGATTCGATATCAATTCGATATACAAATTGTCGATATCGATTTTATGTCGGTATCACCAGCCCTCACCGGCCCCAGCAGGTGTGAGGAACGCCAGAGCTCTGTCGACTGGCTGTCAGCGGAATCTAATCATCAGGTCTCGATATCGAACCGATCTCAACTCGGGATCAATCCGATATCAAAAATTTGGAGATCGGTTCGATATCAGGCCTGTCAAAGAGTTGACCCGTGGTGTACAGTCAACTCTGATATAACCGATACACTGTCAAAACCGATAATCTCGGCAAAACCGATAATTTTCGGCCATTTTTTTAAAATTTTCAGTGAAGTTGGCTCTGACAAAACCGATACTCCGTGAAAACTGATACAATTTTTTGGGTATCGGTTATATCAGAGTCGACTGTATCTAGTGAGAAAATCCACCTGAGAAAATCTCACAGAAGTACATACATACATTATGTTACAATCGGGCAGGTCAAGGCGCTCGGTCGGATTATGGGTTCATAGCTGCTCGTTTCCACGCTGCCACAAAAAAGTCGAACTTCTGACTTGCCCAGGAGGCTTGATGTGAAGATTTGATTCGTGGGCAGTAAAGCAATGAATCCGTTCGTGATGAGAGTACATACAAGTCAGAAAAAAACTGGGGGGACGAACGGACTTGAACAAATAATAAAGAGAGTTCACAGTGTTGACTATAAATCTAGATGTTGAGTAAATCGAAATATCCATCTTGTTGGATGTTGATCTGGCCGGGGAAACGTCGGCAATGGTCGAGATTGAAAACTGGGGCCTGCTCACAGCAAATCGACAGAATTCGGGGGTTCTTTGATCAACGGGGACGTGCTCAAAGTTACGAGCTTATAAATAGATAACAACTGCTTCGTTCACTATCAACATTATTTGTCAAAAAAGCTATCACGGCCTACTCCGAGGTCATGATTGCGGTGGCATATATGGGTATGTGTACACAATGTACCTCTGTGACATTTGTGTTGATATAGGCCTAGAGTGGTTCACAGATGCACTATCAGAGCTTCACCGAGCTCGAGCTGCGGTCGTGTTCCTCCTTCTGACATTGGTTGAATGAATCTTGAATATTGCATCTAATTATGATAAGTTTTACTCAGAACTATTGGTACATCTTGAATAATGGGTGAATAAGATATGAAGAGAAGAAGAAAGAAGGCAGAAAGGACCTATGATAGAAAGCCCACCACGATAAGAGGGTAAATGATATTTCTAAACTTCAATAAGAAACAAACTTCAGGCGCACAAAAAACGTAAAACAAAAGATGGTTTCAATGGATGGTCAACAGGCTTTTACTCCATTTGATAACTTCTGGATGTGCCATGACTTTATGAGGTTCAAATCTTAAAACCTGTAATCCTTCCAATGAAGTCGCTCTGGATAAAGCCACATAACTTTGTCCTGATAAAATCATCAAAGATCAGAACAAGTACTGCACAAGTTTAATTTTAGGAAAAGACAGCGCAAACCTTTTTCAAACACTTTGCCTAGATCCACCTTCACTCGGCTCAAGGTCTGACCTTGACTTTTATGGATTGACATTGCCCAAGCCAAGATCAATGGGAGCTAACAACGAAGTAGATTCGGGAAATATCAGTCTACGCGTCCACGTTTCATCCGATCAGATCATGCGGTTCGATTTATGGGTATCTCACCTGTACTCGTTTGGATTGTACCTCCCCTTCGGCATTCTCAACTTTGAATTCTGCATGTTCGACCATTGTTTTTTCTATACGACCAGTCGGCAATCTCCAAGCAACTACTGGAAAGCGATTCCGGGTACCAGTTGCGGCAGACGAGGCGGCGGATTTAATCGGCTGCTTTAAGCCTCGTGCCGTTTTGCCAGTCGACGATTCATCACAAGAATCTCCTTCACCTGCCGCGTTGGTAGTGCTACCAACCTCTTCGAAACTCTCCACCTTGCCTACTAATCCATTCACCAGCCAAGCTGGACCATCCTCGGAACTTTGATTTTTGATCATCATTACCTGAGCACCCACCTTCAAAACCAACTTATCGACGGCCATCATGTTATTAAGGTCTCTCGCGCGCTGCTCAGGGGTCCCTTTGCCCGAGTCGAGGGATATATACGTCACAGTTTCGGCATTGAGAGCAGTAAGTCTACCCAAGTTCGATTTTTCAACCTCGTGGCGAGTTGGATAAAGCTCAGTCGGCATGATCCCATCATCATACTTGATTTCTCGTGACAGTGCACGAAATTTTTGAATTGAAGAGCTCGAAAGGGTTCCCATTCGCATCTCGTTCAACATATCCACAAATGCTAGTAGTCGATGATTATATGTCAGAGTCAGAGATGAACCACAGAGCGGTGTATCAATTATATGAGGCTCACTTGAATCCTTCTGTCGAAACACCTGCGTGAGATTAACAGTGTGGGAGATACATTCCTTCCAACGTTTGGCGTTAAATGCAAAAGATGCATTGCCCTTAGAAACCGGTGGAAGTTGGAAAAAGTCTCCAGCAATGACAAGCTGTGTCAACGAGACCTTAGTCAGTGAACGCGGCCCTGAGCTAGCATATCAAAGCCTTTTAAAAACAAACTTGGATCCCTCCAAAAGGCTTGTCTGAGCGCTTCATCTTTTGAGCTACGTAAGCAAGTTTGTCAAACAGATCACCGTCGACCATCGATACTGTGAAGATAAAGATCAGTTTTGATTGACAAGTTTCCATCACAAGGCCACTTGTATATGAAGCTTACTTTCGTCAATTATCAACACCCTTGTACGTGTCCATCTCGAGACCGCTTTCTTGTTCTTTCTGACCTTGGAGACCAGTAGATCGGGCGATTCTATAGCAATTCCAATGCCAGCAAAAGAATGTATGGTAGTCCCACCAATCGCACAAGCTGCCATACCGGTTGATGCCGTCACAACTACCGCATCGGCTTTACTTTTGTAATTCAGCTTGAGGGCGGCTATAATATGACGAAGAAGTACAGATTTCCCTGTACCCGCAGAACCGGTGAAGAAGACGGATTCTCCTTTCAAGACTTGATCAAGGACAGCTTGTTGTTCTTTTGAAAGAGAGACCTGGAGTCGGATATTCAAATCAATGTGAGGAGAGCAAAAATAGAAAGAAGCTTGTTCTTACTTTGGCCGAAATGCTAAGCTTGGGATTTCCCAGTTGGCTCGTCCCCATAGACATAGGGACGCGAGAAGCTCCAGCCAACTTTTTGGCATTAGGACCTCCGACATCCCATGGGAAGTCACGTTTGGCGGTCGGTTTAGGTTTGTTAGGTGCCCGCTGAGCAATCGTCTGCATGACTGTACTGTTGGCTTGAAATCCAGTTTTTGTGCGAATGGCTGTTTTTGAAGTAGACGATGTGCTAGAGTTTGGTTTGTCGTGGGTTGCATTTGATTTGGTGGGATTCTGATACGGCATATTCACGCTGGCCTTTGGTTTGGGTTTGGGCGGCGAAGATGGAGGCCACTCAGATTCATTTGCTTGCCAAGAAGGTTGAGATGATGACATGATACGATTTTGTGAAGACGGTGGGGAATGATTGACATTCAATGTAGGCGTTGACCATTTGCGTTGTAATGATGAGACCGTCCCTGAAGTGCGCTTTTGAACAGCTTCGTTTGCACTGGGCGGAGCCAATGTGCGATTCTGTATGTTGGATGGTCGAAGTGGATTCATGATCTCGGTAAATTTCTATCAAGATATCGAGGGTGTTGAAGTGAGATGGTCAGGAAGCGATGGAGACTGAGACACGACGACGATGAGTTGGATTTGATTCTTTCGAGTTTTGGCAAACAAAAACGCGCTTGAGTATAAGTCTATCACGTGACACGGAGTACAAGAACCTCTTAAAACACATGAAACTTATTTATCAGGGAAAGTTTATTTATCAGGATTCCGGGTGCCCATCACTCTTTGCTTCTTTCCTTTTGGCCGCTGAGGAAGAGAACCACCCACATCCCTTAGAGCAAGATAAAAGGGTTGACAGTAAAGCATTTGCGACAAGTTCATGAGATAATATAAAGAGTTGATCATATCTGTTCTTCCCAATCTCTGTCCATCTCAATGAAAGTGTTCCACATTTCTGAGAGCTCAATCTAATTCCTCTGGCCAAGGCTGATCAAGAAAATACCCTGATAAATTTCTGGAATTATTGCATCCAAAGGGACTACATAAGATCACCTCAAGAGTGACACCTTTTCAGTGAAGCTTGAAGTTAAAGCATTGTTTTGGACTCCTGTCATGTTTGACCAGATGCCTTGGGGGAACTTGGCCTCTTCAGATTTTTGATATTGATGATCGTGCCAGTTGATCGTCGCATGGTTAGTGTTGATCCTGGCCAAATATTGCTGAAAGACGCAAATTTGCAATTGGCATCACACGAAACATTCCGATTAGTCGTAAGTCCCTCCTCCGCAAGCTCCGAAGGACGCGCGCGCTCTGAGGAGGAACGTTAATTTAGCAATTTGCATGGGGTGAATTTAGCTAACAAGATTTTCACTATGTGCTTTTGAAAATGGATTGTAGGGTCTAGGGTACCTCTCCACTTCACTGTATACATGTACTGCATTTTGACCCCATATTGAGTTGAACACTACCACAGTCTTGAACAAGTTTACCACCTGAACACTCAAGTGATCAACAACATTTATTTTGGACTAAATGATTGAAATTTAAGATTTGATGACTTTACAAAGCAAACGATTAAAACTGAATAACCTACAAAATCACTTTTGCTGTACAACAACAAACAAACAAACGATTGAAAAAAAATGTGGAAAAGATAAAAACTATAGAAAAGATAGAAAAGATACTAAATAGATTCTTTGGGCAGCTGATAAGATTATGTTTTTGTTTTTGTAAAATGTACTACATATCCTACAAACTAAAGATACGTTCTCACCTGTATACAATTCAAAAAAACACTCAACTTCTGATAAATGATGTCTACTTTCAAACAGTTTGTTGATGAGATAATAAATCAAATAAGTTTCCATTATAAACTCCATCAATCTCTTCTTTACGAACAGAAAGGTTAAATCGCCTATTATAACCAAACCAAATTAGTTTGATCCTGGATTTGTTTTGGAGTCTTAAAATGTGAACAAGACTCACCAAGTTAAACTCATAACCACCATCCATCCCAATACGACTTTCATGAATCTGATGGGATCTATTTTGACACAAAAAAGGCGTTCGAAGATGAGTCTTGGAAGATGAGAAAGAGGATGAGGCAAAATGACTGACCTTTCAGGTCACCAAGGTGGTTGAAGACTCTCAATGGACTGATAACTTCATCGGAGTGGTGAGAGCGAGATTCACTCTTACCATGATCTTCAAAGAAAGGTTGGTTTTCTTTTTTTGAGTCAAGCTAATCATTCGAAACAAGAGCATTGTAAACAAGAGCACATCAGTTTCCAGAAAAATCTTGTGTTTTGGGTGGGCTAGAGAAAGTGTAGAAAACATCTCTCACCCCACTAAACCCAGCCACTTCAATAGGTATCATAAACCTACCACGCCCAACTCCAAAAAAAGGCCACATCAATATGTGAACCCAGAAGGTTATCAATCCGGCGCTGATAGGATTGAATCCGAGTTGACGGATAGTACTGAAACTATCGTTGGGATCAAAAATCCCATCTCCATCTCGATCAAAGTATGACAAGTACATCCAAACAAGACTTGGTTTTGAGTCCGAGCCTGTATCGGATCTTGATCCTGACTGATCATCAGGCTTGACTTTGCGATGAGCTGTTTCTGATAATTGACGCCAGGATCGCTCGGCGTGTTGAAACCCTTCGGTCTTTTCGGTAGGCGTTTGATGTTCGCTGGTTGAAGACTTTTGCGTGGTTCCTTTGTGAGGATCTCTATTGTCAGGTTCGCGATCCGAGAGTTCTGGAATTGAGCTTGGTGCTTCACTTATAGAGCTCGGGCTAAGTTTCGGCGTATCCCCAGTTGAAGATCCCGTTAATCCGTGCTCAACGTGTGACTCGGAGGTAGTGCTCAGGTCCTCGTGTTTCGAGTGTTGCTTCGTGGATGAATGCGCAGATTGATGAGAGTCAGGTGGTCTCGACTTGGTCTCTTCCGCCGAGAGATTTTCGGCAGTTTGAGGATTTTCCAAAGCCTTGGAGTCACTTTGAGGATGCTGCTGAGGATCGTGCACGGAGGATGTCTTCTTCTGACGACTTTGAGGAGGAGTCGGATGCGATCCTTTCGTATCGTCGTCTTGAACAACTCCGCCAGATGGGCTTCGTTCAGCGTCTCGAATGGAACTGGAGTCCGCTCCATGGTTTGGCTCAGAGGAAATAGAGCCCTCTTGGTTGGAGCTAGATTCCTGTTCGGGTTTAGATTCACGAGAGGCCTTCTTCTGTCTTGTATTAGAGTCGTCTTGAGTCGAGCTGGCTACTTTATGATCAGTGTCCACATGCGCTTTTTTCTTCTTCTTCGACTTTTGAGTGTGGCTTTGAGGAGGTTTTTGATCCGAATCTTTTGTATCAGTCGCATTCTCTTCGTTTGCTTCGTGAACTTGTTCTTGATTTGCGTTCTCATAAGTAGAATTAAGCTTCAAAACGCGAACCCCATCTGAAGGAGTTTTAGGCTGAAACAAAGCAGAACAGAAGGATACGCGTGAGTTTACGGAAATGAGAGCGAGAAAAGGTAGGAAGAGAGATTCATACCTTGGTCTTGGGCGATTGAGGATGATGATTTTCCTTTGGATCGTGAAGTGTAGGTGTGTAGTTCAAGGGAGGATCGAGAACACCATCTTTTCGGACGATCTGATCTATAGGTGGTTGTTTAGCTTTTTCGGCGAAACTTTGATCCATGTTATGATTAGGAAGGGCAGTAGGAGCTGAATGTGGAATGATAGGAGAGGAAGTAAGACTAGTATTGATTGAATCTGAATCTCGATCGTCTGCTGGTTCTGGAGTAGCAGTAGAAGATGGTAAAGAAGGGAAATTATGATCTGATGGTAAAGGAGGTGATGAAGTCGATTGAGAGGATTTTTGTAGATTACGCTTTGAGTGTTTCTTTTTGGATGGCATGATGATGGTTATTGGAAAAGTAGTATCTAGAGGATGTTACTTTGCTTGATGAGAGATTCTTAGAAATCAAACAAGTCGAAGTGAAGTTCATCAACCGGTCAAGAGTTGAGCAGACCTTAAAAATGTAAAATCAATCAGATTAAAGAAAATTAAAGAAAATTAAAATTCATCCAGAGGGAAGATGATGACCTCATCATGATCGACTCTTGTGTCAAAAAAACGCGCTCAGACTGATCTTCAGATTGGTATGTACAACTTACAAAGTTCTAGTCTGTTATGCACTAGTGAGCTTCACGTCTTCACTTATCTCGTCTTCTCAAGTTTGAGGTTGGTGTTCAAGTTTGACTTTAAATTCAATCAATCAATAGTAATAGGTGCTTTCTTCTGCCTGACGTCTGATTTCTTGATTCTCGTCAGGCTCATCATACGATGACCTATTGACTGTGACTCGCGCTGCAGTGCACGACGCGACGCCTGTCCTAAGCCATACCCATAACCCAAATGGCTGATATGTAGCTCGATCGAATATGTGAAGACCTCCATGAAGATCGCAGCAGCAACGTTTATATCAGATGTCAAGCAAGAGATATTTGATAGTAGACACTCTAAGATCAGCTTCCTATCTCCATTTTGACTGAGTGTTTTCCTCATAGCTCAGGGTCTAAGGTGCTGACAGTGATTACATCAAAATACGACGTTTTATCTGCATCCTCAAAGAACGATCTTCAGTTGAGCTTCAAGGTAACCCAACTTCAGAATGGACATCCTATTTGCACACACAGAATTTCAAGGACATGTGAAAACTTGGACAGCATTGAATCATGCTATTTAGAGCAAACTCTTATGAGTTTCCTGCCATTTTCTAATGCATAGAGTTAGACGTGATTCAAAAAGCTAAACTTGATACACGACGTGTCCAACTTTTATCAAATAGATCATCATCATCACTTTCCAGGGTAGAGGGGAAAATTTGACCCTATGATAGCCTATATGGTCAAATGATCTTTCTTTTCTGGTTTTCTTTTGCATATAATCTTTGAAGCGGCAACTAGCAAAACCTTCTTTGTGCGGGAGGTCATTCCTGAAGGAACTGGAGCACCTGTTTTTGAATCTTTTGAAGCAGTCAGTTTCAGTTAGAACGTGTGTTGTCTTTCTACCTCACAAAAGTCTCTGGCACGTAGTTGTTATTGCATCACATTTTTGCTCGATGCATCCGATGTTTCTTCCAAAATGAATCCAATAACATGAATTCCACGCGTATAGAATGACAAGATTCGTCGAGGGTGGATAGGATTGTGAAAAAAACATTTCAAGTTATATATACGAGCAACTTTGTTAGGATAAGAAGTCTTAGACACGATACTTTTTAAGAAGCGTCAATCGTAGCGTGAAAACAGGCTGAAATGAACTGCAGCTGATACAACTTCACAGCGGTGAACACAAATGATGAGCTTTAAGGATACTATCAGTGTTAAGAGTGCAGGCAGACTTGGGGCGCAGTTAAAGGGACTGACTCAGAGACAGCCAAATAACCATCTGACTTGACGCAAGTCTTTGGGTGCGATCCTGGCCCATCTGGGACTTTCTCAAGCTAAACCAAGAATATAATTTTGCAAGACTGAGGTTTCAAAAAGATTGAAATTTTGTTTCCCATGAAGAAGGCGACATTTTGCAAGGATTATCTTTCATAGGAGGAGAATATTGTAAATGGGCATTAACAAAATTCCTCCCTAAATCTTCCCCCTACTTACGTACAAGTACTTTCCTTCAGGCTTGTTGTTAGTTCGAGGTGTTAGCAACCGACAGGCGCCAACGAAATAGAAAAAATCGGTCAGGGAGACCAATTTAGTGTCCAAGACTGGATCAGGAGATGGAGAAGAAACCACACTCAATCAACTCTCCTTGATTCCAGACTCATTTATTGCTGTTACCCTGCTGGTGGGCCTCCGTTCACCAGACTCTTTGATTGTGAGGTTTGATCAGGCTTATTACTTGTCGGAATATTTGTCCATCATCCTCCTAGGGTGAAAATTCAAAGTGCTTTTTTAAAAGACGCCAGAGGTCGGTAAGTATCAATCCAAGACTTTGACAAACTACGAGGAGAGCAGACATTGATTCCTCAACCAGATGGTAGGAGATCTCAAATACATGATCTATACTCAGAGTGACACTGGTCTCTGATATCCGCATGAGGCTTCCCCTCAAATTCTGTCAACGAAGCAACCTGTGATTATAAAATGATCAAGAAATTCAAACCACAAAACGTCCGCCTGGGCCACTTAAACGCTTCTCAAAAGTGGACGTTGCATGCATCTCCAGGCTGCCAATGTCGTCCTACTTAAAATACAATTTTTTGGTCAACCGTAACGTTACGAGACACCGCGCCTGATTACTAGCCACTATATCATCATAGTTCTTGCTACGTTTATACAATTTCAATATTCAGGATCCTCGAGACCAAGTTTACATATAGTCAGCATTGAAAAAGAAACTTTATAATTTTCTGGAGGATTTTGAGATAAATTTGAAGTCAATCTTCAAGATGGTCAAGATCAAATCGCCGACAGTCTTCTAAGCACTTGTTTTCTTATTGAATCATTCCGATGTCATTGCTGTTCTGATTCTACCTTCAATTCCACCGGCGAGTGCGCCAATTTTGCCCGAGGTCTATCATGCAGGCTTGACACATAGAAAGATATTGGGAAAGGGGGTCAAAGCTGAACAAGTCAGTCAAGAGTTGGGACCCACAATCACAAGCCCTCCACCTACACAGTTCATCAATAGAAGATATCCAAATGAAGCCCAACATCGAAGGATTGAACATGCATTGATCAACCAACAGACTGGATTGTCCTATCGAGTAGATACTGATGGTAAATTGACTGTGCGACCCAACTTATTTCTGTGGGAAGATGGAATTCCGCGATGAGGACGGAGCCCTATTACACAAAACTTCCTGTTGTCACACCGCGGGAATCATTAAGTGTGAAACCTGATTGAGCAAAGTCGCGGTGTTCGGGTCCGCGACTTTCTTCAATTGCGGATCTTGTTTGCCATAGGTTTGCTATAGGTTTGCTAGCTTGCATCAAGCTGCCCTTGAGTTGTCCGCCTGAGCTGCAGTCCATGTTATGCATGTTTTTCCTTTCAATATCCTCAGACCACTCAAGATCATGTATGAGTCATGAGCTTTATCATGTATATGTTACAAGAGTCTAGACATATGGTACCTCCATTAGTCCATACTACAGCCTGAGTGGATGACTATGTAGAGGCCAGCTCAAGACGAGCTTGCAAACCTATGGCAAACCCATGGCAAACAAGATCCGTGATTGAAGGAAGTCGCGGACCCGGACACCGCGACTTTGCTCAATCTGGTTTCACACTTAATGATTCCCGCGGTGTCATTGTAATAGGTCATTTTTAGGGATCAGGGCTTACAACTCTGTTGAATGGCTCTTGGGCTGCTGTATCACTTGTTGTTCTGAGGGACTGCTCGGGTGCTGCTGCACAAAAAATTCAAATGCGCGGGGAACGTAGATCTTAGTTTGTTATAGAATTCACATGCAAATATTGATTATAGAAACAAAACTGTTCAAAGGCAGTCAGATGAAAGAAGTCATCAACGAGACTGCTAGGGTGATTCATGCCATTCAATCATATTTGATTTTATTTATGATGTAATCTTGAATATGCTTGAGAATATAAATAGAGATGAAAATATATATGAGAAGAATGTTTCATCAGAAAAAGTGGGTTTTACCTCAGTTTTAACTCACATAGAGGGGATTTAACCCTGTATTGGAGATTTTTGTGTAGTTTTGCCCTTTTTTGGTTTTGCACCTGTGCATTCTTGAACTGGAAATTTGGTTATCTCACATTGTCACCTTGGAGCATCCTACATTCTGCATTCACATGATTCATCATTCTCACTCACATCTGTCCCCTGGGGCTAAAAGACCAACACTTGGCAAATTGAGTCTTGGAAATATATGGCTAGATTTCCCTGAAAAAGTTGGGTGAGAGTTTTTGCCGCGGTTCTTAGCCATATGAAATATCCTCTTTGGATTGTACTGCCTCTGATTTGGGACAGAGACCCTTGCACCCAAGGCCCACATATTGGATTTAAGAAGCTAGGGCTCTACATGACTGAATTCATCATGGTCTGTGTTTATGCACTATGGCACCTCCTTACTGGGAATTCTTGCACTACTGTCAACAGAACTATTGACAGATGAACCTCACACTCCATTACAATGAGCTATGTCCTGTTTGTATTTGAGTGGTGTAATATTTGAAGCCTGACAAGAGCTTTACAACACCTGAGAAGCAATAATCTACCAATATGTAACTAGTAGAAGTTGTCTAAGACTACCCACTTGAAAGGAATTGGCACAAGGGCACTTGCTCATGACCGCTTTGTGATAACAGAGAAAAAGCCACCAGAGGAACAAGCCTGGCTTGCAGCGCTACGTAGCGCTACTAGCCAGGAAAATGATAATGTAGTGTGGGAACATAACCACCATGCTTAATAGTTTTAACGGTGGCACGAAAAAAATTGGTCAAAAATCTTAGAAGCGCAGTTAAATTGTGTTGCGCTTCTCAGCGCTACAAGCAAAAAAGTAGGTTTTTTTGAAATTCTTGAGAAGAGATAAAAGATAAAGAAAAACCAAAACAATAGTCTAAACAAGTGTAAAGGAAAGATGAAGAAACGATTTGAGAAAGTCTTAGAACACGGTCTAAGTTGGGGGAAACAAACAGGTTCAGAGCCTAATCTTGGGTCTAACAAAGATAATGACTTCCCAGTCTTCTTTTCATAGATAAGGAAAGTAAGTACCTAAGTTGGGGGAAACAAACAGGTTCAGAGCCTAATCTTGGGTCTAACAAAGATAATGACTGGGACTAGAGTAAGATAACATAAATCAGAAGAGGTCACAAAGATCAAGAAAAAAGAATAAAGAAATGAGTTGACTTACAGTCTTCTTTTCATAGATGAGGAAAAGAAGACTGATGAAGGTTGTTGTATATATATGTAAGAAGATTGGGGTGATTCTGCTATAAGCATAATCTA